TTTAAGGAATTAAACTAATAAGTTGGGCACAAATAATACAAGAAATACATGGTAGAGTCCTAAAACCACCCGGTTATAAGCATAATTTTAGTTACATGCGAATTCTCATCACATCGTGCACATGTAGCAAACACAATTATTAGCAAACAATCACTTATAGCACCTACGGGGATAATTTCCTCTTAAAAGATTAGGTAAGAGACTTACCTCATTTTCAAATCATCTTCCCGATCCACAATTCACACTCAAGCATCAAATCGATGTCACGCAATCCGAAACTTATCAAATATTATATAAATTAATCAATATATGCTCAAAAGTCTATAATTTAACTATTAGATTAATTACCCAACCCAAATTGGAAGATTCCTAAAACTCACCCCAGGCCCACGTGCCCGGATTCCGGAAATTATTGCAAATAAAAGTTACTCATAACCTCATGATCCCAAATATATAATTTTTACTCAATTCCATAATCATTTTCGTGGTCTAATCCCAATTTTATCAAAATCTAGGTTTTTCAACTAAATCCTAAAATTTTCACAATTTATATGTTACAATCTACCCAAAATCCATGTATTAAACTCACATTAAGTAGTAATTACTTACCTTACAATGATAGGTGAAAATCCCTCTCCAAGAGCTCCACAATCGACCAACCCAAAGTGAAAATGAGAGAAAAAGATCCTAATTCCCGATATAACTGCACCCTTCTGCCCCAGCGACTTTCGCTTCTGTGAAAATTTTGCCGCTTCTGCGGCTCCGCATTTGGGGAAACTACATCGCAGATGTGGTCCTCACCCCAACTGCCCCCCTTCCGCTTCTGCGCTCCATTCCCCCAGCTCCAGTCCGCTTCTGCGGCCGCGCACCTGTGCTCCCACGTCTGCACCTACGGACTCAGCCCATCTAGCCAAAACTCGCACCTGCGGCTAACCAGCCGCTTCTGCGGTGCCACACTTGCGGCAAATTCTTCGCAGGTGCAAAAACACCAAATCCCAGCTGCCTTCAGCAATTCTCCTAAGTTCAAGCATGTCCGCACATCATCCGAATAGTACCCGAGGCCCTCGGGGCCTCGTCCAAACATACCAACAAGTTCTTAAACATAAAATGGACCTGCTCGAACCCTCAGAACGCATAAAACAACATCAAAACTAAGAATCGCACCCAAACCAAATTGAATCAAATTATGAACTTCAAGCTTTTCCAACGTACTCCGAACGCGCCGAATCATACTTAAACTACTCGGAATGACACCAAATTTTGCGTATAAGTCATAAATTACCATACGGAACTATTTCCAAGCTTAGAATCCCAAACGGACCTCGATAACACCAAAGTCTACTCCAAACCAAATTTAAAGAACTTCAAAACCTTCAATGCGCCAACTTTCAACATTAAGCGTCGAAACGCTCCCGGATCGTCCGAAATCTGATCGGAACACACGTCTAAGTCCAAAATCATCATACAAACCTATTGGAACCATCAAATACTAGTTCTGAGGTCGTTTACTAAAAATATTAACTCAAGTCAAACTTGGACATCTTAGGCCGCTATTAAGGAACCAAGTGTTCCGATTTCAACCCGAACCCTTCCAAACCCAAATCAACCATCCCCGCAAGTCATAAAATAGTAAAGTCATATATATGGAGTCTTAATTAGGGGAATGGGGATCTAAAAAATAAAATGACCGGTCGGATCGTGACATCTACTATTATTTTCGGTTTAATTTTTTGATTGTGAAATAGTTGGGGAAACCTATGAGGAAATACTAACAACTGCCTTTGCTTTCAATTAGACCATACGAATTGAACTAAACCATCCATGCCTTGTGTATTTTTCTCTAAAAAAGAGAAATTTCAATATTAAGTTTGTGTTAAGCTCTTTAATTGTTTTTTTCACACTTGGTCTTTGTGAGTGAGACTTAGAAACTTAAAGTAACATCTGCATGTAGAGTTACCACCTGATTTTTAATGAAATTGTGATATAGATAGAGCTATTTATTTTTTATTCACATTGATAAGATGCTGAATGTACAAAAGTCCATAAATGTTCTCAAAGTCTTGAAGCTTAACGCTTGATGTATCCGTCACAGGTGGAGCTGAAATTTTTTGTTTGACGACTACATTTATTTTTTAGCAGGATCCTAAAACACATCAATTCTTTTTTGTTTTTCCATTTTTTCCCCTTTTCCCTATTTGGTTAGCCCCCAAGGGTTGAATAGTTTGTATTAGCAGTGAAGGAACGTGAATAATAGAATTTCTCAAATAAAACATTTAGAGTCATTATCATTTCCTTAGTTACAGAAGAGCGCAAAAAAATAGATTTTGAATGTTATTTCATTGCCAATCAACTTTTATTCTATTTGTTTAGCTATATTGATTTCTTATAATTTCATTCCTCTGTTGGAGACACGCTTTAATTTGCCTACCCAGCTCTGAACGAGAAAGAGCAAGCACGATTCCAAAAGGATATCCTGATTTGAGAACTATATATTCATTGGAAGTAAGTAGTCTATTGTTGTCCTTGCTTTTCCGGTTCTTATCTTTACACTTTGGTGAATTTTCCTGTTTGGATCATTGCTTTCTTGTGAGCTTTCTTCTTATCTTCTGTTTCTCTATTGTATCTGTTGTGGCATGCTAAGGCTTTGCACCCAAAAAATTTAATATGTCAGTCGTTTTTGCTTGATACCATATTTTTCACGACCCAGCCTAGGGTCGCGACGGATAACCGACACTAAGTGTCGATCATCACTAAACTTGCTGATAATCTACTAATCATGAATATAAATGGATAAAATGAACAAGCATAAGCATAGCTGATAAGAACTGTACAATCTGGAAAGCTGACAAGGCTAACACAAGCTGACATATAAAACCATACTAACTGCACATGTGCATATCTACAGGCCTCTAGGAGTACTGAACTGAACAAGTACTGGACAGAACAGGGCTCCGTCATACCCAAACTAGCTGAATGTACACATACAAAAAGGTAAATAACTCTGGGAGTAAGCGGAGTGACTCCAATAGCTGGTGGATGGCCTACTGATGTGGCTCAAACACTGATCTATACAACCTGTGTGACATGAAACACAGCGCCCCGGAAGGGACGTGAGTACGATATGTACAATGTATGTAGGGTGGAAAGCATATGTAAATTATATTAAAGTATGACTGTAAGAGGGAAATCTAAATATAAGCTGAAAGCTAAACAAGAGTCTGAACTAGCAACTGGTCTGGAACTGAACCGAAGTTTAAGTTGAAACTGTGCTGAAACTGAACAACTATCTTAACTGGTACCTGTCTGGTGTTGTGGGTTGTATTCCCCCAATCATCTAACTGTAAAATTAAACTAGCCTCATGTGTAGTCATGCAATGCAAAATGTAGCTATATACGCGTACGTAACATGCTTGACTGGCGTTATGGGCTATATCCCCCAAGCAGGTAAATATATAATAAAAAAGTCCGGCTGGTGTTATAGGCTATCTATCCCAACATATAATCAATAGGCCTCGTTGGCGTTATGGGCTATCTCCCCCCAGCATATAATCAATAGGTCTCGTTAGCGTTATGGGCTATATCCCCCCGGTATAATCAATGTAAGCATGTATGAGGCATAACACATGTGGCAACATCATAAGAACTCAAGGGATCATGAAGGAAACTATAAACAGAATAAAAAACATAATCCGATGCTCATCATCCATATATTGGACAAAGGATCCTATCCCCATTTTAGGGAGAAACTGAGTATGTACATGAGATACTACGGCTAATTAACTCGTTAGGATCCCTCTAGAATTAATTTAGAACCAAAGAACTCAAAATTTATCCAACTCTTCGAATTTTAAAAAATTTTGGCAGAGTTTTCCCTAAAACTGGATGATCCCCAAAAAAATAGCAAGTACCATAATATACACGGGCATGGATACCCGGACAAGATAATAAAATCAAACTAAAGGATATCCTATTATCCAAAATAGTGTCAAACGATCGACAAAATGAAATTATGAACATAATGTCGGCTCATAGTAGCTAACTTGTGACATGAAAGTCTAAATATGATTTAGGAACAATCTAACCGTCAGTACATGATAATTAAACTTATATAATCTTAAATGATACTATTAGGATCATATGGGGGTTAGGTGTACATAAACATCAAAGGAACGAAACAAACGGAAGTCTGGAAGGCATAGGCCAAATTGGCGATTTGCCCTTTTTATTTTTGTTGTGTTTTGAAGTTCCAACCTAAACTAGTTTCTTGCATACTTCACATATGGAATTGAATATATACAAGGATACAATACATTCTGAAATTTTCGTTGAACAACTCTTAAAATATCAAGAAGAAAGACTAGAACATAGCTAAACTAAATTATGCCGAAAATGAAACAAAAACCGTACATACCTCTTGTGTTCTTGCTTCCAAACCTTGTTACCTTTTATCCACACCCTTACTTATACTTGTATAACTAAAATATAGAGGTGACAAGCTTTCTTAGCGATGAATCTCTTTCCAAAACACGAGTTATAAGGAGACAAGGGGGATAGCAAAGTCTTACATATGTCGTAAGGATCGCGTTGATGTGTTCGCTTCTTGATTTTGAGTTGCGGATGATGGAATTGATTCAAAACCCTAAGGATGTGTTTAGGAGGTCTAGAGAGAGTTTTTAGGTCTGATTTGGGTCGAAATGAGGCTTAGAGACGAAGGCTACAACTTTATATATCAAGATAATCCTCAACCGACTGTGTGGGTCTCAAAGGGAGCTGCTTGCGCAGTCTTGCTAAAACGCAAATATCTCTCCATTCCGACGTCGTATCGTCAAATAGTTTAGCAGCTCTCCGTCGTCATGTCTGCTTGCAGATATAGGGGCCTTTAGGTCTTTTTGCTTAGCTTTTGTGTTCTAAAATATTACGAGGAGCTTTTGTACAGCCACACGTGCCCTAAATTGCTGAGTTGGCTGGTTTTGAGATAAGAACCTACATTAAGCGATGACCCATATACATTTCTCATTGTTTTCATTGTTTTGCATTTGGTTTCCTCTGCTCCATCATCTCTTCTCCTGTATTGCTCCTCAGCTTGGGTATCGAAATTTCAGGTAAACTTTTACCTTAATTTTTGCTTTAATCTTCTTCCATTACTTTTCAATCCATCCTCCTCTCTCTTTCAATCTTCTCCTAAATACTTTTTTTCAATGGCTTTCTTCCTATTTCATCGGCTTCTAGCTTAAAGTATATCTACCCTCAGTACTAAGTTTAGAAGTGTTACTAAGAATGTATACTGATTAATGTGTATATTTCTTTGGCTTTGTATAAAGATCCTTTTCTAGAAGACTTGTCTTCGAAAGACTCGACCCCCCTCCCCCCTCCCCCCAAGGCCCTATCTTCGGAGACTTTCTATATTAGTTAGGGTGTGCCTGGGCTGAGTCCAGGCCCAAAGGTTGGGCCGCATATTGTGAACTTTTAGCATGTAAGTGGCCGATGTATTAACATTATGAGCTTGTGTCTATTTTTATTTGTCTTTTAATTAGTTACAACAACAACAACAACAACAACCCAGTATAATTTTACTAGTGGGGTTTGGGAAGGGTAGTGTGTACGCAGACCTTACCCTTACCCTGGGGTAGAGAAGCTGTTTTCAAATGACCCTCGGCATCCTTCCCTCCAAGAACTCCTCACCTTGCTCTTGGGGTGACTCGAACTCACAATCTCTTGGTTGGAAGTGGAGGGTGCTTACCATCAGAGCAACCCACCTTGTCTTTTGATATTAGTTAACCACTTTATATTAAATTTGTTGCAAGGCTTGAAAATATGAAAAGTACATTCTTATACATTCTCATTTCCAGGGTATTTTGACTTGTTTTTCCAAGATTGACCTTAGCTCTCTCATTTGTTACAAATTATGAAGATTGTATTGTTTTGGTAATTGAAAAATATTCTTTTAGAGTGTCTTTTGCCACAACTTTGTTAACCGTGATACATACAACTCTAGTCTACCTAATGTGTCATAAGTTCTCCTTTTTATTTTGCTTTCAATTAGACAAAACTTTACAGTAGCAACTCAACATATAAATAACCATCAATCACCATGATATAAATAGTAGTATCCATTTAAATTTAAAAGTTACATGCTGATACTTTACATGCTATCATGTAAAAATTACTATTATGTTTGAATTATAAAGACTACAATAGTTTATCAATGTAGTTGTCCCACATGCTAATCAATTATTGGGAACTTATTGTTCTATTTTGAAATTATTTTCTCTGAACTAAAAAAGTAATGGAAAAAGTATTTCAACAATTTGAATAGGAAAAGTTTCATTTCGTGTGTTTTTTTCAAATAAATGAATAAAACATAAATATATTGACTATAAACTTGTTTCAAATATTAGCAAATTTTTTTACGGACATGGTTTGATGTTCCAGAACCACGAAATAGATAGTTGAAAAGAATTGCTATTTTTCCAATATCGCCACACAAAAAATGAGCAGCAAATGTGATGGTTTAAACATGTAAACCAAATAGATTTATTGATCTTTTATAAATAAATATGCAAAACAACTAACAAAGAGTGCCTAATAATGATTAATTTTGTCATCAGTTCTCTGCTTTGATTTTTTCATACTCTAAATTTCAAACAGAATGAGATATTACAAAAGGGAGGCACTGTCAAAAGAAGTTAAATGACCGTACCTCAAAAGGCTAAACTTTCAAATAATAAAGAAAACATTCTTTAAAAATGAGCTTTAGTTCTACCTTATTTAATTAAAGTTCTGATTCTCGTAAATTCTAACCATAAATCCAAAAGGTTAAACCTTAAAAAAATGAGATACTTAGAGAAGAAAAACATGTTCTAAAAACGTTTTGTTTTACTTTTCTTCTTCTTCTTCTTAAATAATCATTATATTATATGTTGTTTGTATCTTTAAATTGTTGGACCTGGCATATTTATTCTATATCAAACAAATTTTCTTTTACATTATTATGTCAACCTATTAGTTGTAGTTACCTTTTTGTTTTATATTAGATTCATCAACTCAATGTAACATTTTTGGTTATTTACATTTTTATAATACTCTTTACATTTGCGTGTTAGTTATAGTATACTACTTCTTTGTTTGGCTAATGGACGGATTTTATTGAAAGTAGCAAAGGGAAAATTAAAGTAGTTCATTACAAATTGAAACTAATCGGTTAGATATAATTCCATATGGTCTTTGCGAAATTGAAATAAAATAGATAAAGGAAAACACCACCTGCAAAAGGAAAACAAAGATGCCGTTGAAACACTTCTGACTATTTTGATTGTTCCAGTATTTGAGATTTAAATATTACTTGATATTATCTAAATTTACGTTGAAGAACAAAAGATATTAGCTTTTCCTTATGATAAAACCAAACACTTAGTCCGTTTGGCCATAAGAAAATTTTCACTCTTTTTCGAAACTATTTTATTTTTTTCAAAATCAGTGTTGTCCATAAAAATTTTAAATTTCACTTGAAGTTGAATTTCAAATTTTTTTGAAAATTTAAAAAACTTCAAAAAACTATTTTTCAAATATTTCACTACAAATCACTCACAAAAATTCAAAAATAATTTCAAATTGTATTCATATCCAAACACAACTTTAATTTTTAAATATTATTTTTACTTAATTATTTTTTAATTTTTCGAAATTTTACATTTCTTATGTCCAAACGTCCACTTAATAGTATTATTTAAGATGTATTACAGAAATCTGCTGCCATTATAACTTTTACAAACAAAATTGATTGTACAATTGGGGCTCACAGGTTAGGATAGCATTAAAAGGCTGCTAGTGGAGCCCACGTAAGAGTCATATATGACAATTGCATATGAAAAAGAAAGTTCAGGTGGGAGCCACAAATGAAAATGTGCACACTGTGTAGCACTTAGTACAACATAGTAAAGCACACAATAATTACAATTTTTCCAAAATAACCCTACGACCCCAAGCTTGGAGCCCACGTAAGAGTCATATGTGACAATTGCATATGAAAAGAAAGTTCAGGTGGGAGCCACAAATGAAAAAGTACACACTGAGTAGCACTTAGTATAATATAGTAAAGCACAAAATAATTACGATTTTTCCAAAATAACCCTACGACCCCAAGCTCCTCCTACTATCTAATAAGAGGGACTTAGCACATAGCTCGACGACATGTCTGCCTGGCATTTCGAGGGTAATATTGTCTTTCCGTTTAATTTCTTTTTATTGGCTTTACTTGGATTATATGGACTAATTTGTGAAACATGGCAATCATCGCTCTACAAATTTTTCTTAGCCTTCTCTCTTCTCACTCTTCTTGTTCTTATCGGTACCAGGAAAACAGGTTTTACAGAAACTTGGCTGATGCAGGTTCTCTATATCAAAAGGTTAACACCCAAGTTGTTCCAAATTCAGTATCACCAATGTCAGAAAAGCTCCACTGTCTGCCAGTTTCCCAGTTTCCACCTTTTCGCTTCTTGCGCTTCCTAATTTTATCGTTGCACTTTCGTAAATTTTTCCGTTTGGATCGTTGTTTCTTGTGAGTTTTCTTTTTCTTATCCTGTGTTTCTCTATTTAATCTTTGATGGCATGCTAGGGCTTTGCTACACAGAAAGTTTAATGTGTCCATCGGCTTTGTTCTTTAGGTGTTTGAGGCAATTCTTGAATGAATTAGGCTTTTTTCAAGATTTCTACTATTGTTTTCGGTATAACTTTTTGACTGTGGAATAGTTGGGGGGAAACCTATGAAGAAATACTAACAACTGCCTTTGCTTTCAATTAGACAGTACGAATTGAACTAAACCATCCATGCCTTGTGTCTTTTTCTCAAAAAGAAGAGAAATTTCAATATTAAGTTTGCGATAAGCTCTTTAATTGTTTGTTTTTCACACTTGGTCTTTGTGAGTGAGACTTAGAAACTTAAAGTAACATCTGCATGTAGAGTTACCACCTGATTTTCGATAAAATTGTGATATAGATAGAGCTATTTATTTTTTGTTCACATTGATAAGCTGCTGAATGTACAAAAGTCCATAACTGTTCTCAAAGTCTTGAAACTTAACGCTTGACGTATCCGTCACAAGCGGAGCTGAAACGTTTTGTTTGACGATTACATTTATTTTTTAGCAGGCTCATAAAACACATCAATTCTTTTTTTGTTTTTCCATTTTCCTCCTTTCCCTATTTGGTTAGCCTGTGAGGGCTAAATAGTTTGTATTAGTGGTGAAGGAACGTGAATAATTGAATTCGTCAAATAAATTTTTTAGAGCCATTATCATTTCCTTGGTTATAGAAGAGCGCAAAAAAAATTGGATTTTGAATGTTATTTCATTTTTACTCTGTTTGTTTAGCTGTATTGATTCCTTATAATTTCATTCCTCTATTGGAGACACGTTTTAATTTGTCTACCCAGCTTTGAACGGGAAAGAGCTAGCACGATTCCAAAAGGATATCCTGATTTGAGAACCATAGATTCATTGGAAGTAAGTAGTGTATTGCTGTCCTTGCTCTTATGGTTCTTATCTTTACACTTTAGTGAATTTTTCTGTTTGCATAATTGCTTTCTTGTGAGCTTTCTTCTCATATTCTGTTTCTCAGTTGCATCTGTTGTGGTTTGCTAAGGCTTTGCACCTAGAAAATTTGATATGTCGGTCACTTTTGTTCCTTATGTGGTTGAGAAAATTGTTGAATGAATCAGTCTTCTCATACTTGAAGGATGAGTATGATATCTTATTTATCTTATATGTGCCTATAAACTAAAATACAAAAATACTATATGCTCTTTTACACTCTATTTTGCATATACTGAGGCTTCGTTGCACGCCTTTTGTAATGATCCGACCAGTCAGTTTGAGCTCTAGCGCATCGTTCGGCGGTTTGAGGCCTTGAGTAGCTTCACTTTATGTATTATGGCCTACACGTGTGGTCGGTTTCAATTTTTGGGAAGTTCGGCGTTGATTTGGAACGATAATTCTCAATTCAGAAGCTTTAAGTTGGAAGAGTTGACCAAGGTTTGAATTTTTGAATAAACGACATCGGAATCGGGATTTAAAGATTCCAATAGGTTCGTTGATTTTGGACTTGGGCATATATCCGGGTTGAGTATCAGAAGGTCCGGGAGCGTTTCGACGCATAATGTGGAAAGTTGGCATTATAAAGGTTTTAGAATTTCCTAAGTTTGATTTGAAGTGGACTTTGGTGTTATCGATGTCCGTTTGGGATTTCGAACCTTGAAATAGGTTCGTATTGTGAATTATGACTTGTATGTAAAATTTGGCATAATTCCAGAATGTTTATGTGTGATTCGGACGCGTTCGTCAAAGTTTGAATATTGGAAAGTAAAAGAAGGATCTTGATCGTTGATTCGTGATTTTGATGTTAATCATAGAATTTCAAGCCTTTGGATAAGTTTGAATAAGGTATTGGGACTGGTTGGTAAGATTGGACGGGGTCCCGGGGGCCTCGGGTGTATTTTGGGGTAGTTTTAGACTATTTTTTCTTGTTTTGCAACTGCTAGTGCTGGTGTCTGGTGTTGTTCTTAGCGAACGCGAAGAGATTCACGCGTTCGGAAAGAAGGATTTTTGGCTGCAAGGATTCTATGTTTCGCGTTCGCCACTGTAGACCCGCGTTCGCGAAGGTTTGGACGGCAATACTTCGCGTTCGCGATTCCAAGATCGCGTTCGCGATGAAGTAGCTGGGCCTGATGAGGGACTTGGCTATCGCGTTCGCGAATGTGCGGCCGTGTTCGCGATGGGAAGGCTTTGGTAAAGCTTCGCGTTCGCATGTCCTTTCTCGCGTTTGCGTAGAGGAATTGGGGAGTAGAAGCTGGTTGTGCTTCGCGAATGCGAGGGACTTGCCGCATTCGCGAAGAAGGGTCGAGTGGGCAGTGTATAAGTTTGCAAAAACGGGTTTTGGTTCATTTTATCTCAATTCTTTCATGGGAGTCGAGCTTGGGGCGATTTTGAAGTCCCATTTCTTCATCTATCATGTGGTAAGTGAATTCCTATACATTGTGAGCCAAATACATGAGTTATATATGGATTTAAACATGGAAATTTGTAAAAATTATGAAGTTTTTGAAGAAAACCTAGAAATTGAAATTTTGGATTTTTATCACGAAATTGGATATGGAATTAGGAATAAATTATATATTTGAGTTCGTGGTGTTATGGATAATTTTTAACTTCGAAAATTTTCAGAATTCGGGCACATGGGCCCGAGGATTGAACTTGTTGACTTTTCGAGTGGAGTTGAAAATTATTATAGAGTGATTAATCATGAGTATTGGAGTATATTGTTATTAGTTTGCATGTTGTTTGTCTAGTTTCGGGTTGATGGACATCAGTTTGAGGTATTAGAGAGGCGTTGGAGCCTGTTACGGAACTTTCGAGCGAGGTAAGTCTCATGTCTAACCTTGTGAGGAGGGAAGTTACCCCATAAGTGATGTATTTGTTATATGCTACTTGTTGTGGGGGCTACGTACGCACGATGTGACGAGAGTCCGTACGTAGCTAAAAGCATGTTTATGTCTGGGTAGACTTAGGACTATATCGTGCGATATTTGTATTACCTGAACTCAACTTGTTAGTTTAATTACCCAAACATGTAAATGTATTTTGATTATAGATCATGCTAGGTAGAATCTTGAAACATTGAGTTGTTTGGCGGGATATCCGACTATTGGTAATAATTATGCTTATTTTATGTTCTTGTTCTTGTATTTCAAACACGTGACCCGTTGTTCGATAAGTTTCTTCCTTTTCTGTGGATCAGACCGAAAGCCTCAGCAGTATATTGATATGCATCTATGCATCGGTCGATCCTCGGTAGTGTACACGCTATTTCGGATCAGGCTCAACATAACAAGGAACAAAAGATATACGACCCCGAAATGAAGTGGGGCTCACCAAGTCAGCTGGGAAGAGGGTGCATCGCTATCATTGATCAAAGCCACCTATTGTTGAACCACCTGCATCCATTAAAGATGCAGCGGCCCCGGCAAAAGAGACGTTAGTACATGTCGAATAGTACTAGTATGAAAAACCAAACACCCTTCAAGGATTTGAAAGTACAACATAAATGTGATGAATCATGGACACAATAAAAGAGCTTAGATAACCGTTGAAGCCATAGCAAATTCATTTTAAAACTTTCAATAACATTTATAAATTTCAAGTTGGGGGATCCTCTATAACAACCTCTACACAAAGCGGCCCCGTCGCCTTACCCCAATGTGTGCGTGTGGAGGTTTATTCACAATATCACAGTCTCTACACAAAGCGGCCCCGCCGCCTCACCCCCAATGTGTGCTGCTGAAGGTGTATTCATAGTACCACAATTTGGATTCTCAAAACGATAATAGTTTGTACAAATGATTTCCTTTCAAATCAAACCGTTTGAGACCTTTGGCCTTAACAAATATAAGTTCATAAGATTTAGTACAAAACTTTCTTCCCAAAGAGGTATAACATAATTAAATCAAAATAGAGAATAATTAACACACAAGGGTTTTGACACGCTATACAATTTGGGGATCAATTTACTAGCTTGAACATCCCACCTCAATGGTGTTTCAAGTTCGAACTACACACGATGGAGTTTTGTAAGAATACGGTAATTTCAATACTAGAAGAAGAGTTTAGCCTCATACCTCGAAAGAGCTTTCCATGGTGTAACAATAATGTCCCGACACTCCTAATGATGCCAATCTATAGGAGAGGGGAGAATTACAAGCATGATTAGAGGAATTCGTATGGCAAGGGCTGCTACAATGACAACCCAACCTTTCCTCAACCAATTTAACAACAAAAATCACCCAAGGTTGTCCAACAACTTCCCTACAATACCTATTAGCTCATGCATGTGATATGTCTACACTCATCACCCATAACCAACCCAAAATCAAAAATTGGAGAATTAGGGGAAGAAATTCTCACCTTTTGAAAACTCTAGCAAGTTCCTCTTGATGAAATTCCAAGGCTTGATCCAAGTTGAGTTTTGAAATCCTTGAATCCTTCCCTTTCTCTCTCTAGAATAGCCCTCTCCTCTCTCTAAAATATCAGATAATCCCTCAAAAATGACCCCTATGGCGAGATAAAACGAAATAGGGCCGGGTTATAAAGTTAGAAAAATAAAGCCCTGATGCAGATCTGCGGTCGCATATATGCAACCGCATAACACTTTTGCGGTCTGCAAAATGGACCGCAGAATGGCCCTCCGGAATTGAGCATATCTGTGCAGGTGTGCGACAGGTCTGCGGTCCGCATACCAATTATGCGGTCACATAATAGACTGCAGAACCTCCTTCCAAAATTTCTCATGTTGGTTATGCGACGGAATGTGCGGCCCGCGAAACGCTTATGCGATCGCATATCTAACCGCAAAACAACCTCTAAAAATTGGCTCATTTCTCTGCTTCACTCTGCGGTTGATCTACGGCCCACAAAATGGTTATGCGATCGCATAGTAGATCGCAGAAATGCCATGTTCTGCAAATGGTTTCCTTCAACTCCTTGATATACTGTACGACCCAAAAAGTCCGTACCGAGGCTCGCAAGCTCACCGCAAGAATTTCTACAATCCTCAAACACATTAGCTTACCTCGGCACCATGAAAAACTGGGTTTTTGGTGAAATTTTATGGGAAATTACATCCTCCCCCCGCTTAGGATCATTCGTCCTCGAATGAGGGTCAAAATCTGCCATTAGCATCCAATGTGACCCAACTGTTACTTCACACACTAGTAGTTCCATATTTTGACTAACTCCCTAAATTTCCGAAACTTTCGCTAGAGTCTCCCCTACAACTGGGCCTCCACCTATTAGAGAATCCCAGAAACTAATCCTAACAACGTATACATAATCCAACGACACAACATAACATGAAAACAACACTAACCGTGGCCTCATAAGCAATATATTACCAGAAAGGAACACCCTTAGCATAAACTGTACAAGTGATACAAAATTCATAGGGAACAACTTCATAGATACGATTACATAGCTATTCAAATAAATGAGGGTACTTCTTCCTCATTTCTTCCTCGGCCTCCCAAGTAGCCTTCCCAACCTTTTGGTTTTGCCATAGCACTTTCATGGAGGAAATCTCTTTATTTCTCAGCTTTCGGACTTGCCTATCAATAATGGCAACTAGAATTTCTTCATTGGTCAATTCCTCATTAACCTCAATAGTCTAAACTGGAACAATGAGTGTCGGGTATCCAACTACCTTCTTCAACATAGATACATGAAAAATCGGGTGCACTAAAGACATTTCTGGAGGTAGCTCAAGCCTGTAAGCCACCTGACCAATCCTATGAATGATTCTGTACGGCCCGACATACCTCGGACTAAACTTCCCTTTCTCGCCAAACCGCATTATACCCTTCATGGGGGAAACCTTCAAGAATACCCAATCATCCTCTTTGAACTCCAAATCCTTGCGGCGTACATCCGAATAGGACTTCTGTCGACTCTGGGCAGTTTTCAACCATTCCTTAATGATCTTAACCTTCTCTATAGCCTGATGCACGGGGTCTGGCCCAATAACTCTACTTCCCCAATCTCGAACCACCCAATGTGAGATCTACATCTCCTACCATATAGAGCCTCGAACGACGCCATCTGAATGCTAGCATGATAACTGTTGTTGTAGGCAAATTCTATGAGCGGCAAATGATCATCCTAGCTACACTTGAAGTCAAGTATACAAGCGTGCAACATATCCTCGAGCGTCTAAATAGTCCGCTCTGCCTGCCCATTGGTCTATGGATGAAAGGTTGTACTAAGATTCACCTGAGTACCCAATCCTTGTTGAAATTTCTTCCAAACTTTAGCTGTGAACTGTGCCCCCTATCAGAAATGATAGAAACTGGAGTGCCATGCAACCTAACTATTTCCTTGATATACAACTGAGCATATTATTCCGCTGTGTCGGTAGCCTTAACCGGTAAGAAGTGTGCTGATTTCGTGAGTCGATCCACTATCACCCAAATCGAGTCAAACTTATAAGGAGTGCAAGGTAGTCCTTCCACAAAGTCCATATTGATCATCTCTCACTTCCACCATGGAATTTCTACGTTCTGTGCCAACCCACCAGGCCTTTGGTGTTCGGCCTTCACTTGCTGACAATTTGGACATCTTGCCACAAAGTCCGCTACATTCCTCTTCGTATCATTCCACCATTAAACTTCCTTAATATCATGATACATCTTTGTAGAGCCTGGTAATGGAATACCTAGAACTGTGAGCCTCGACTATGATTCTTTCCCGAAGACTATCTACATTTGGAACACATAATCGCCCTTGGTACCTTAATGTACCATCATCCATGCTAAGAGAAAAAGCCGTGGTCCTATATTTATGAATCCCCTCCTTTAACTGTACCAACGATGGGTAGTTGTATTGCTTATCCTTGACTTCCACAACAAGCGATGATTCAGCCCTATTTTGCACAATCACCCCTCATTCACTAGAGTCCTCAAGACGAACTCCCAAACTAGTCAACCGATGAACTTCCTTGGCCAATGGCCTTTGATGTACCTCCAAGTGAGCCAAACTACCCATGGAGTTTTGGCTAAGAGCATCCGCCACAACATTAGCCTTTTCTGGATGATATAGGATATCAATGTCGTAGTCCTTGAGTAACTCAAGGCACCTTCTCTACCTTAGATTCAATTTCTTCTGCTTGAAGATATATTGAAGGCTCTTATGGTCCGTGAATATATCCACATGAACCCCAAACAAATAATGATGCCAAATATTCAATGCAAAAACCACCGCCAAAAGTTCTAAGTCATGTGTGGGATAGTTCTTCTTATGATTTTTGAGTTGCCTAGAAGCATAAGCAATCACCTTGCCATGTTGCATCAATACACACCCAAGTCTGATTCTGGAAGCATCACAATATACTACAAACCCATTCGTACCTCTGGTATTGTAAACACCAGTGCCGTAGTCAATCTTGATTTCAACTCTTGGAAGCACTTTTCGCAAACATCTGACCATTGGAATTTAACATCCTTCTGCGTCAGTTTAGTTAATGGAGAGGCAAGAGTAGAGAACCCCTCCACGAATTTCCTGTAATATCCAGTTAAGCCTAAGAAACTGCGAATCTCTATTGAAGTTGTAGGCCTCGGCCAATTTTTCACAGCTACGATCTTTTGAGAATCAACCTTAATTCCTTCTCTGGAGATGACATGACCTAAGAATGTGACGGATTCATGGCAAAATTCACACTTCAAAAATTTTGCATACAACTTGTGCTGATATAGAGTCTGCAGAATTGCCCTAAGATGATCGACATGGTCCTCTCAACTTTGTGAATATACAAGAATATTGTCAATGAACACTATCACAAAGGAGTCAAGAAAAGGCTTGAAGACTCGATTCATAAGATCCATGAAAGCTGCCGGGGTATTTGTTAGCCCAAAGGACATTACCAGAAATTTGAAGTGCCCATATCAGGTCCTGAAATATCTTTTCGGAATATCTTGCTCCATGATCTTCAATTGGTGATACCTGGCTCTTAAATCAATTTTGGAAAAATACTTAGTACCCTGCAACTGGTTAAACAAGTCATTTATCCTTGGTAGTGGGTACTTATTCTTGATTGTGACCTTGTTGAGCTGTCGATAGTCGATACACATTCTTAGTGACCCATTTTTCTTCCTTACAAAGAAGACCGGTGCACCCCAAGGTGACACACTCAGCCGGATGAAACCCTTCTTTAACAAATCCTTCAATTTTTCCTTTAGTTCCTTCAATTCTGCCGGTGCCATTCTGTCATCAGGTTGGAGGATTATGTTAGTTACAGTTCTTACCTCATTATTACTGTTGTGTTTCATATCTATTTATAATTTGTTATATTGATTTATTGGACCACTAGTAAGTATCGATGTCGACCCTTTGTCACTACTTCTCCGGGGTTAGGCTAGATACTTACTGGGTACGTATTGATTTACGAACTCATGCTACACTTATGCACTTATTGTGCAGGTATATCTCTGATTGGTCATTTGGGCACAAAGGCACAACTATTGAGGGGACTTTGGGGGTGAGCTTCATCCCATGATATGATCCATAGAACACGGAGTCTCCATCATGTTTATTTATGATATTCTGTCTATTGTACATTTCAGACAGATGTTGTATTATGATTGTACTTCATAGTAGATGTGCATGCACTTGTGACACTAGGTTTTGAGATATTCTAGTTGATGTTAATGGTTTTGAATTAATATTGTCATTTTATTTTATTTTATATCTTACTAATATTGTATGTATCCCTGATTTTAAATGCATTAAATTCTTTATTTAATAAAACTTATGATTTCAAAAGTAATAAAATGAGTAATTATTTATATGGTTCACCGTTGGCTTTCCTAACAACGACGTTGAGCGCCATCACGACCTATAGTTAGTTTTGGGTCGTGACAACTTGGTATCGGAACTCTAGGTTCACTTAGCTCTCACGAGTCATGAGAAAGTATAGTAAAGTCTTGCGGATCGGTACAGAGACATTTGTACTTATCTTCGAGAGGCTATAGGGCTGTTAGGAGATCTTTCCTTCTTGATTCCTCATCATGCGATTTGATTCCATTGAAGCTTATGTCTTCATTTCCTTCCTACTTATTCTTATACAATGTTGAGTACTTGTTATCAATTGGGCATCGAAGAGTTGTTGTGGTGCTGCAGAAGTGGTGCAGGATGTTTTTTCTTGTGTATTTGGGCGGACTATTATCGTCGCCTTGTGGAGGGGTGTTCTTTCGTTTCAGCCCAATGTTAGTGTTGCCTACGGCTTCGAGGCTATGCAGGCGTAGTGCGATGTTCATGTGTTGTTACTGCGCAATGCTGGTGTAAATGGTAGGATGCTTAATTATGTGTTGCGGCAATGAATGACTTGAGAGGAGGATTATTTGGTTCATGGTTTAGAGACTCGGTATTTTATCCAGCGGAGGAGAGGCAATTGGACTATGGATGTTCAGTCTTTGGTTGACGGAGTAGCGAGATCGGATATTTTTGAACTTGGTGGAATTCTCATTTGTGATGTGGTGTCGTCGTCCTTGCTTGAACGCATTAAGTCTCGTCAGTGTGATGCTCTTCGTTTGTTTGTCTTTGGGGCACGGTGTCACGAAATGGTACCTAAGAAGCAGTTATCAGAGATGATGGTGTATTGAGACTGCAGGGTCGGATTTGTGTCTTTAGTGTTGATGGCTTGAGGAAGATGATCTTTAAGGAGACTTAGAGTTGGTAGCAATTTATTAGTTTGGGTGCTACATAGATGGACTATGATTTGAGGCAGTATTTTGGTAGCGAAGGATGAGGAAGGACATAGTGGAAGGTGTCTTGCGGTGGTTGAATTGCTAGTAGGTCGAGTATGAGCAACAGAGGTTGAGTAGTTCGCTTCAGAAAAAGGTTAAATCAGAGTGAGAATGTTGCGTATAGTATGGATTTTGTTGTAGGATAGCCATATGCTTTGAGAAAGCTTGGTGCGATTATGGCCATGGTGAACAAGGGGCTAAGTCTGTATATTTTGTTTGAGATGGTTGCTTCTTGTCATGACCCCAATTTTCCTCCGTAGGATGCCGTGATGGCACCTAGTCTCTAAGACTAGGTAAGCCTAACATACATGTAGAATATAACTGAGATAATGATAAAACTCTCAAATAACTCAACAACTATCATAAAAGAATTTTGCCACTCAACAGAAACAAACTCCCTAAAATCCGGTGGTATCCAGTCACAAGTATCCCTATACAACAGTATCTATAAAAAAGGGAAAATGAAATAGAACTAGATAGAGGGTCCCTATACAACAGTATCTATAAAAAAGGGAAAATGAAATAGAACTAGATAGAGGGTGACTCCGAGGCCTGCGAACGCCGGCAAGTATACCTTAAAGTCTCCAAATCCGAACTCGACTCACTGGTGCATGGGCTGGTAAGAGGTACCTAGATCTGCACAAAAAGATATACAGAAGCGTAGCATGAGTACACCACAACGGTACCCACTAGATCTTCAACATAAGATAAATCCTTGTCCAATTGGGCTGAGCAGAAATCTAACACATGGGACAGATCACGGTGATACTTCCGGAGCATAGAAACATGGAATACTGGATGAACTGCAGCTAGACTAGGTGGCAGTGCAAGCTTGTGGGCCACCTCACCAATCCTCTCAAGAATCTCAAAAGGTTTGATATACCTAGGGCTCAACGCCCTTCTTCCCAAACCATGTAACACCCTTCATGGGCGAAACCCGGAGCAAGACCCGCTCTCCAACCATGAATACAATATCGTGAACCTTCCGATCCGCATAACTCTTCTGTCTAGATTGGGTTATATGAAGTTGATTCTGAATCAACTTAACCTTTTCCAAAGCATCCTGAACCAAGTCAATACCCAATATCCTAGCCTCACTTGGCTCAAACCAACCCACCGGAGACTGGCACCGCTTCCCATACAAGGCCTCGCAGAGCCATTTGAATACTCGATTGGTAGCTGTTATTCTAGGCAAACTCTGCAAGCGGCAAGAACTAATCCCAAGAACCCTTGAACTCCATAACACATGTACAAAGCATATCCTCCAATATCTGAATAGCGCGCTCGGACTGTCCGTCCGTCTGAGGGTTGAATATTGTACTGAACTCAACCTGTTTTCCTAACTCACACTGTACGGCCTTTCAGAATCGCGATGTAAACTGCGTACCCCAGTCAGAGATGATGGATACCAGCACACCATGAAGTTGGACAATCTTGCAAATATAGACCTGAGCCAGCTGCTGTGAAGAATAAGTAGTCACCACTTGAATGAAATGAGCTGACTTGGTCAACCTATCCACAATCACCCATACTGCATCAAACTTCTTCTGAGTCCGTGGGAGCCCAATAACGAAATCCATGGTAACTCGCTCCCATTTCTACTCGGGAATCTCAAGCCTCTAAAGCAACCCACCTGACCGCTGATGCTCATACTTCACCTGCTGACAATTTAGACACCGAGCTACATACTCCCCTATGTCTTTCTTCATTCTCCTCCACTAATAGTGCTGCCTTAAGTCCTGATACATCTTAGCGGCACCCGGATGAATGGAGTACCGTGAACTATAGGCCTCCTGAAGAATCAACTCACACAAACCATCCACATTGGGCACACATAGACGACCCTATATCCTCAACACGCCGTCATCCCCAATAGTAGCCTCCTTGGCATCGCAGTTCTGAACTGTGTCCTTGAGGACAAGCAAATGGGGATCGTCATACTGATGCTCTCTGATACGATCATTTAGAGAATACCGAGAAACCACTCAAGTCAGAACTCGACTCGGCTCTGAAATATCTAATCTAACAAACTGGTTGGCCAAGGCCTGAACATCTAATGCTAATGGCCTCTCTGCTGCCGGTAGATATGTTAGACTGTCCAAGCTCTCCGCCTTTCAACTCAAAGTATCGGCCACAACATTGGCCTTCCCGGGATGATATAGAATGGTGATATCATAGTCCTTAAGCAACTCTAACCACCTCCGCTGCTGCAAGTTAAGATCCTTCTGTCTGAACATATATTGTAGACTCTGGTGGTCGGTATAGACCTCACTAGGGACACCGCATAATAGTGCCGCCAAATCTTCACGACATGAACAATAACTGCAAATTCCATGTCGTGGACAGAATAATTCTTCTCATGCATCTTCAGCTGCCTAGACGCGTAGGCAATTACTCTACCGTCTTGCATTAACACCGCGCTGAAGCCAACACGTGACGCATCACAGTACACAGTGTTAGACCCCAAACCCGTAGGCAACACCAACACTGGGGCAGTAGTCAAAGCAGCCTTGAGATTTTGAAAATTCTCCTCACACTCCTAGGTCAATTTGAACGGAGCACCCTTATGGGTCAATCTGGTCATAGGTGCAACAATAGATGAGAAACCCTCTACGAAATGACGGTTATACCCTGCCAAACCAAGAAAACTCCGAATCTCAGTGGCTGAAGACGGTCTGGGACAACTCTGCACTGCCTCAATCTTCTTCGGATCTACCTTAATCCCCACACTCTCCACCACATGACCCAAAAACGCCACTGAATCAAGCCAAAATTCACACTTTGAAAATTTTGCATACAACTTCTTTTCTCTTAAGGTTTGAAGCATGATCCTCAGGTGGTGCTCATGATCCTCCCGGCTTCGGGAGTACACCAAGATGTCGTCAATAAAAACAATGATGAATGAATCAAGATAGGGTTGGAATACACTGTTCATCAAGTGCATGAATGATGTTGGGGTGTTGGTCAGCCCAAATGACATCACAAGGAACTTATAGTGACCATACAGAGTCCTAAAAGCAGTCTTCGAAATATCCGGATCTCGAATCTTTAGCTGGTGATAACTTGATCGCAAATCAATCTTTGAGAACTCTCTAGCACCCTATAGCTGATCAAATAGGTCATCTATGCGTGGCAATGGATTCTTGTTCTTCACTGTAACCTTGTTCAACTGTCAATAATCAATACACATGCACATAGAACCATCCTTCTTCTTTACAAATAAGACCGGAGCACCGCAAGGTGACATACTAGGCTGAATGAAGCCCTTATTGAGCAACTCTTGCAACTGCTCCTTTAACTCCCGAAACTCCGCTGGGGCCATACGATATGGTGGAATAGAAATGGAATGAGTGCCCGGCAATAAGTCAATACCAAAATCAATATCCCTATCAGACGGCATGCCCGGAAGATCTGCTGAAAATACATCTGGATAGTCTCTCACTACCGGAACTGACTTAACGGTAGGAGTATCAACACTGACATCTCTCACAAAGGCTAGATATGCATCACACCCCTTCCCAACCATCCGTTGTGCCTTAAGGGAAGACACCACCCTGCTAGGAACGTAATCCAAAGTACCCCTCCACTCCAACCGCGGTAAACCTGGCATAGCCAACGTCACCATCTTGGCGTGACAATCAAGAATAGCATGATAGGGCGATAACCAGTCCATGCCCAAAACAAAATCAAAGTCTACCATACTGAGTAACAATAGATCAACTCTAGTCTCAGAACCACCAATAACAACTAAACACGACCGAAATACCTGTCAACAACAATAAAATCTCCTACAAATGCGGACATATAAATAGGAGAACTCAAAGAATCACGAGATATACCCAAATACGGAGCAAAGTAAGATGATACATATGAATAAGTGGAGCCTGGATCAAATAAGACTGATGTATCTTTACGACAAACCAGAACGATACTTGTGATAACTGAGTTAGATGCAACTGCCTCCGTCCTACTTGGAATAGCATAACATCTGACTTAGCCTCCCCCTCTAGGGCGACCCCTACCCGCCTGAACTCCACCCTAGCTGGCTGAGCAGGTAGAGTGGCAACTGGTGCGATAAGCATAGCCTGAGAAGTCTGGGGACCCTGTGGAATATGTGGAGCCTGAGTAGTCTGTGGAGGTGCACCCCTCCTGAGTCTGGGGCAGTCCCTCACCATATGACGAGTATCACCACACTCAAAACAAGCTCTCGGAGGATGTAGTTGCTAATACTAGCTCGGGCCTGGTCGGCTGGACTGACCACAGAAAGCACCCCGTGCAGGAGGTGCACTAGACAGCAGCGGTGCATAATGGGCAACCTGAGACCTAGGAGTGGCCGAAATACCACTGGAAGCTGGAAGTGCTGAATGAACTGGACGACTCACATTGCCTCTGCCATGACGGACTGCAATTGGGGCTCGGGAACCACTATATGTGCCAGAATCTCATGGCCTCTTGGCCTCCCTGTTCTCTCTCTCCCGGCCCCGCATACCCTTAAATCTCCAAGCAATCTCTACCACCTGTTGGTATGGGGTATCTGTCTCTAACTCTCGATCTATGCTGAATCTAATACCATAGTTGAGCCCTTCAATAAATCGACAGACTCGCTCTCTAACTGTGAAAACTAAGGCAGGTGCATGTTTGGACAAATCGCTGAACCCGACAATATACTCTGATACTATCATAGCACCCTGGCGCAACTGCTCAAACTCCGCGCACCAAGCATGCCGAAGGCTCTGGGAAAAAAACTCTCTCAGGAACATCTTTGAAAATTGAGCCCAGGTGAGTGAAGCTACCTCGGCGGGGCTACCCTCCTCATAAGCCCGCCACCACTAGTACGATGGTCCCGACAACTGGAAAGTAGTGAAAGCCACCCATTAGTCTCCACCCTCCCATGGTATAGAGAATACAATGGCACTTCTCCAAAAAGCCCTATGGGTCCTCTGTAACTAGTCTGTTAAATGTAGGAGGATGGTAATTCTTGTACCTCTCGAGCTTGAGCTCCTCCTCCTCAGATGTTTCTGCCCTAACCTCGGGCTGAACTAGGACAACTGGCTGCCCTGGTATGATCTCTGGGACCTGGTTAACATGGACCCACTACTCTGGGGTACAGGCTGCAGGAGTCTCCTCCCTCGGCCTGAGATGTGGCCTGTGCAAATGGAATCAACCCCGCCTGAGCTAGAGTACCAAACATGCTCAAGAACTGGACTAGAGTCTCCTGAAGTGCAGGGATAGTAACAGACGCATAAGGTGCCTGCCCCTCAACTGGAGCTATTGGTGGCTCCTCTATCGCAGCTCGGGCGGGTGCTCTAGATGCATCATGAGCCCCTTTTCGGCCTCTGTCCTGGCCCCGATCTCTCGCGGCTCTAGCAGGAGGCGTGGGTGTTTGATCGTCAGATCCAGCGGTGCGTGTCCTCACCATATGTGAGAGAATAGAAAGACAAGATTTAAAATTTCGAAGTCAACAAATTCGCACGACTCTTTCATTCGGCAAAATGACCTTTAGAAGACCGCCGATCCGCATCAAAGTAGCTTTTAAACTTGTCCTGGTTTTTGTCTCGATCCCGTCCCCCGGTTGGTACCGGGGAACCAAGTTGATCGTCTTCTATCATTATTTTTGACTTGTAACGATTATGGGCATCCGCCCATGTGGTTACTTGAAACTCAAGCAAGATTTACTTCAGTTTTCAGGAGGCGTTGGAGCTCCGCAGATTTAGACCCTTTGTGAATGCCTCAGCTGCCCACTCATATGGTAACACCGGTAGCAGCATCCTCTAATTCTGGAACCGGATCACGAAGTTTTGCGACAATTCGAACTCGCCCTGCGCAATCCTTAAAATGTTCGTCTTTCTGGCTTGAACCTTCCTTGCCCCGACATGGGCCTTAATGAACGAGTCTGCAAGCATCTCCAATTGTCAATTGAATGCTCGGATAAAAGAGAATACCATGTCAGGGCCCTTTTATGAGGGTTTCACCAAACTTCTTGAGTAAGACCGACTCGATCTCATGTTGAGCCAAATCGTTCCCTTTCACAGCCGTGGTGTAGGTTTTGATGTGCTCATGTGGATCCGAAGTCCCATCATATTTTGGTATTTCTGGCATCTTGAACCTCTTCGAAATTAACTCTGGTGTTGCACTCAGCTTAAACGACAATTGCGTGTATTTTTTCAAATCTGGGCCTTTCAGAACTGGTGGTGCGCCCAGAATCTGATCCATTCAAGCGCGAAACTCCTTTGCATTTTGATCCATTTGTTCGTTCATTTCCCTCAAGAACCTCATGAGCTTGATTTTGAAGGGATCATTCCCGTTGTTATTCCTAGATCTGCTACCGGTCCCTCTGGCACCGTCGAAACCAACTTCACCCCTTGGGGTGTAATTATAGACTCTCTGAGCCGTTTGATTTGCCGGAACACTGGGAGGAACCGGACCCCTTCCATTTGCATTATCGAAGGCGCCTGGCAATGCTTGTTTTAACTCTGTCATTACACGATCGTGCCTTGAGAGGTGACTAATGATTGTCTTCTACAGTTCTCTTAAGATTTTTATCATTTCCACGACATGTTCCTCCATCGCATCATTGGGAGTTGTCTCTCGCACATGCCGGGGGTACTGTCCTTGACGAACTAGGGTTATTTTGTCACCTTCATTATGGGTTTCGTTGATTGAGTCATCATATTGAGGAAAATCTTTGCATTCCTCATCGTTATACGTGATGTTGACATCAGTAGCTGCCATATATGATTTCTTACGAAGGAAAGAATCAAAACAAGTTAGTAATAAACGAATGAATCAAACCAATTACGCATCTGTCTATGCCCCGCAGTGGGTGCCAAAATATTTACCCGTAAAACGGTACAGTTGAATTTGTAACGTGGTTAATAGACAAGAGAATTGATTTGATCCAAGAAATGGTAAAGAGATAAAACTAATATTTAGATTGGCAATTGAAATTGAAGAAGATGACAAGCCTGACTCCGAATGCAGTCCCTCCGGGAGCAAAACTGGAAATATCGATAAGGTTCAAATAAAGTTCTTACATTGAGAGCGAAAATAATAAAATAAAGCTTTAGAATGCAAAAAAAAAATCGTCTTCTTATAATGGCTGCAGAGCCTGCTATTTATAGATTTACCTAGGGAAACAAGACCCTAGGATCAAGCTCCTCTTAAATGATAATAAAAGAATCATTGATGAACACGTAACGGCAGGCCATGAATGCAAATATTTTCTGCAACGGTCACTCATTTAATGTTAATGAATATTCCCTCATTGGATGCTATCCAATGGAAAACCCTTGAACTTCCCCCGTTGACTACGTTCCCTTTGGGATTTACCCCGATATTGATTACATTCATTGTATCCGGTATTATCGTTTGCCTATCTTCGGTTTCACGTGTCATATTACCATTCGACCATATGTTATAAACCAATATTACCCCTTACAGTTATTTGATTAAAACGTTCACACATTTGGGGTATGTCTGGTATGGATGGAAATATTTTCCTAAAAAATGAGTAGTTTTATCATTTATTTTACTATGTTTGGTTGGTGAGTGAAAAATAAAAATTATTCAGTATTTGATTAATGAGTATAAAATATTTTTTTGAAAAATATATAATTTAGGCGAACATTATGGGGTGTGGATGGGGAGGCGAGGTTGGGAGTGGGGTGAGGGTGGGGGNTAAGGAAATTATGTAATATTTTCCAAAGCATTTAAGCCAATAAAATATAAAAAAATTAAAAATATTTTCCTTCGTAACAAACACCCTTGGTATTGAACATCAACGCGTGCTAGCTAATTTCATTTAATCCCATTTGTATCTCTATATATATACTATATATTTTACTTGTCATGTTACGTTATAAGTGAAAAACATGGAAGGCTTAGATGCAATGTCTGTTGTTTGAGAGGTATTAAAAAGAGATAAAAGATATCAGTAATAATTTTGAGCCCCATTATATTTGTGGGCATCTTCTCTTTTGCAACATGAAAGATAAACTTCATAAAAATATTTTTCAGAGGTTTAAAATTTTAGTGCAAGAAGTTAATTAGATCATAATATATGATGTCAAATATCTTTTGCTAATTCTCTCATCTTGATTAGTGGACTGATGTGTTATGGAAAGAGGAAAAGGTCTTACGTAAAGGAAAAAGTGTTTCTGATATTAGTTTCACTTCCTTAATTAGTAAAGCACTACTTACAGAACAATCGATTAAAATCATTAACCAGGGAACACTTTTATCATGTGATTCTTTTACAAGCAGAAAAGGTTGAGTTCTTGGAAGATGCAAATTGGGGTGGGGGAGGGTGTTGATGTGACAAGAAGAAACTGAAACACAGAGAGACCCCCAAAATTTGGGATGCCGGAACCATTCCTTTTGGACTCAAACGATAATAATAGGTGAAAAAAAAAGTGACTACCATTTTATATATAACGTAATTATTCATCGCGCTATACTTTAACGACACGTTTGTCCGTTAAGATATAGCGCGGTGAATAACCGCGCTATATTTGAACTCAAAATTGGCGGGAGGTATAACGCATATATAGGAGGCGCTATAATATAGCGCCTCCTATATATACGCTATACCTCCTTAAAAAAGCGGGCCATCTCCTTCCCCGACCAAAAACCGGCAGAAACCCAAAAATTGGTCCCCCACTCCCATTTTTTAAGCAGAAAAACTCCATTGGAGCCCACCCGTCCCACGAAAAGTGTATCTTCTCCGTATTATAGCAAGCTAACACCAGATCCAAGGCGTTGTCGTGTAGTGGATCTCGTCTATTGCTCGTTTCGGCCCCCAAATCCTCAAATTTTCACATTTCAAAAAATTTTAAATCGAGGTATTCCGACTTATTTTTTGGTTTAACTCGTGTATATAAAATGCTTATTAGTTATTTTTTATTGTGGTCTATTTTGTTTTTTTGTGATCGTTTTGTGATTTAATTAATTTGTCAGTTTTTATCCGGATTTATGTGATAAAAATTAGAAATTTTTTTTTGTTATTTTATGAATAATTAATGTTATATGTGATGTTATTGTTATACGTTTATTAATATGTGACTTTATTATTGTTTAGTGCCCTTTAGCTTATGGTAGTTGACTTTGTTCATGGCCATTTAGAGTAGTGTTACTTTAGTAGAAACTTGTTGGAAACTAACATATGAAATATTAATATAGAAAATTATATTTGTAGTTATTGAAATTAATCATTTAATTATCTGTTAACACCCAAAATATCTGAAAAAAGATGATAGTTCAAACACAAACCCTCTCGAATTTTAGTCAATAAATGTAAGAAAATAAAATAAAAAACAACAATATCGAAAATTTATCAAACTAAGTATTTTATATGAATACTTATTAATTTTATCATGTATAGTTATGAAAATTAATTATTTAATTCTGTTATACCCAAAAATAGCTATGTAAGAAACAAACATATAAAATAATGTAATAAACTAATATATAAAATAATAATATAGAAAATGTATCAACCTAAGTAATAATATAGAAAAAATATTGATTAAATATTAATACGAAAGATATTGCAATATATTTAAAGATGTTACACAAATAAACAGAAAAATATTTTAATTAATATTGTTCAATTTACAGATATAGTCATGGAGGTTCCCCATGTGCATCCCGAACCGCATCTCGAGAGCTACTGTTGCTACAGGGCAACCATAGGTCTTTACACATCTGGGATGGGCAGTGTCTGTCCCAAACATTCCGCCCTAGACATATAGATGATATATGGGAGTTCATTAGGGACTACCCACTGCATCCCTGTATAGTTAGACGTCTTCAGGATACGGGTTTCTACAGGATCATAGAGATCGGCCGGTTGCAGTTCGACTGGGCGTTGATCACGGCTACGATAGAGCGGTGGCGACCGGAGATGCACACGTTTTATCTACCCATCGGCGAGGCTACCATCATGCTTGAGGACGTGGATGTTCTTTTCGAGCTGCCTGTTAATGGTATACCTATAGCTTACCCGCATGCTCTTAGAGACTATACGGGATTGGATTACTTTCATATGTTGCAGCGGCTCACCGGCTTCCAGCCAGCGGAGCCGACTACATTGAGTGGGGCCAGTCGATTGTAGCTGACGCTCGTTCGGCAGCATTTGGTGGTGATGGACGCGGAGATTACGGATGATTCACCGCCAGATGATATCGACCGGCACACGAGACTGTTGTTGTTGCTGCTGATGTTTGGTGGTATATTGTTCCCGAACACTTCGGGAAACCTAGTCAGCTTGAAATTTCTACATTATCTGGAGCGGCTAGATAATTTATCTAGTTACAAATACGGTGCAGCTGTTCTAGGTTACCTGTATAGGTAGATGTGTCGGGCGTGCATGGCCAATTAGAGAGATGTTGCCGGATTTTTACCACTGCTTCAGGTGAAAACATAGTCATTCTTTTCATGATTATAACATATATAGTAAAAAAAAATACCTTAAATTTTACGTCTACAATCTATATTAGGTTTGGGCCCGGGAGCGATCCCTGCAGTTCCAGCTACCTCTACCACCGATCACTTCGGATGCACCACCTCCACCGTTTCTCCCTTTAGCTTGGAGGTGGGTTGATAGGCGAGGCTACGCATGCGAGGTCGAGGATCGACATCATCTCCCTTATTACAGGGATGTTGGATTTACTTGAAGGCGCACAGGTACATATATACTAAAGTTTACTTGTCCTGTCTTGATATGTGTTGCGTTTACTCACGATTTTTGTGTTTAATAAATAGTTCATATGGAGGCCATACAACGACGTGCTCATAGCTGGTTTGCCCGATTATTGCTCCCATGGCTGAGCTATGTGGAGCTCTTCCATCTCACTGATATGTCTCGATATAGTCGAGCATCATGCCACCGAGCGAGTCCTTCGCCAGTTTGGTCGCCCGCAGCTTGTACCTATTACGCCCACTTGGCACGGGACACATTACCAGCGGGATGATCGTTGCAGGGTTGACAGACATACTTGGCCTGGCTAGAGGCCCATATTGAGGTTTGGGTCCAGAGGTATGACCTGATTCCGCCATACCCTCCACCTGACCGTATGGAGGGGGAGCATGTGTGCACGGGTTGGTATCGCAGCATTACCCGACTTCTCGTCGAGAATCCCATTCATCGCGTTGGTAGTCGGTACATTCCATAAGCCGGGATGCATGAGGCACTGGTATGTTATTTGTTATACTTACTTATAACTTTACATTATCATTCCATAATTAATATTTTACATGTTATGCAGGCTATTGGCGTACATCAGTTCTACCAGTTGGGACTGGAGATGCTGCATCATACATGCGAGGGAGCGCAACTTTGCACGTGTTTGGCCGTTGGGTTACTGATCTTGTTACTGACACATTGAGACGTGCCCGAGAGGATGAGCGCTTAGGATACGAGGCTACTTATGTGCTGCCCGAGGAGTACCATCATGGGCCACCAGTGGAGCCTGAACATGGTAGACGTGGCAGGCGTTCTCAGAGTGGAAGGGGTGGCCCACGAGGTCGTGGTGGTCGGCGAGGACGGGGTCCCCAGCAAGGGGGCGTTGAGGCACCCGTGGAGGTTATTAGAGGTGATTAGCCGGGTGAACACCCTGAGCCACACGATGCTCCTCATGATATGCCGTCATTCAGCCTTCAGCTATCACCAGAGACTTCATAGGTGACCCCGTCAGCTCCATTGTTGATCGCGGGCACGGCCAATACGCGGCAGGAGTGGGATCAGTATTTTCCTGATCCCCTAAAGCTATCGACAGTTGCTGTTGATCATCCGATACGAGAGGTGCATAGTGGCCGATCACCGAGGAATGGTAAGGATCTTTCAGATACTTCATCTACTCCAGTGCACCTCGATGTTCCGACAGAGCATTGTGGCGCTACTCAGGCGCAGGTTTGTTTGTATTACTATTATTTCAATTTGTTTTAATTTCATTAATTGTTCAGTAATATCTAAAGTGTTTTTAGTTTTTTAAAGATTTTGTCATCGCCCGTCATGGAGGCCACATTGTGCGATAATGACTTGCCGAAGACGGATGATTTTATTCACGAGCCCGCTGAGACCATGGTATGACCATTAAATTTTTTTTTGCTAACATGTACGTTAGTATTTTATATTTTATATACTTCAAGAGATCAGTATTCAAAGACCATTTGAATAACCATTACAGCATCCATTTCAGAAATGCCACTAATATTTAATAAGTGGTTTAAGAAGAGGCAAAAAGGTGAAGGTAGTTTAACAGATCCACATGGAACACGTCATAACACACTCGATCCCTACCTTGAAATAAATATACTAGGTTGCTATACTGATTTGGTTGATGACAAGTGGTATGATGTTCTACGTCCCTTGAAAAATAAGCCTATCAATATAGACATTGATCTCAAAGTTGCAGGGCACATTATTGAGGGCAAAACGCATTGTACAAAGCCTGAAGGTATGCGAACTTGGGGCGAAAAACTACAATAAGTTCCCCTTTACTCAAAATGATGTGATTATGAAGTACTATGTCACTGGCATGGGCTTGTTGCTCCACAAGGACTGTATGCAACCTTCCAAACAAACACATACAAAGATGAATTAGAAGTGATTCGACATTTGATGAAGGAGATTCTAGAGATGGAAAAGGCACTAGTCGTTCATCATGCAATGGATGATCTTAACTACCTGAAAGGAACGGAGGATCAGTATTGGGATTTATTAGAAAATGAAAAATTGCATAGAGATAATGATTATCCCATTTTCCCAACAGTTGTGAAGTGGGAGGGACTACCAAAGTTTCTACCACAAACGTTGGACGTAGGAGTCCTATATTATTGTAGAAATCAAGCAAGTGGTCTTATTGGAGATAGCGATGAAATACGAAAAATGTGTGTCAACTGGGGCCTATATTACGATGCCCTCAGTACGGAAGGGTGATGTAACGACCCGACCGGTCGTTTTGAGTATTACAACCCCGTTTCCCCATTTACTGCTCATATTGTACTTTACATTTATTGTGTGAATTTCCGGGGTAATTGGTTCGGGTCTGGTGAGGTTTTGGAATGAATTGGAACACTTAGTTCCAAGGTTTAAAGTTTAAGTTAGAAAAATGGACCGGATATGGACCGATGTGTAAACGACCTCGGATTTGAATTTTTATGATTCCAATAGCTTTGTATAATGATTTTAGGCTTTGTCCGGAATATTATTTGGAGGTCCGTAGTGGAATTAGGCTTGAAATGCCAAACGTTTAATTTTTGGGAAGTTTGACCCGGGGGTTGACTTTTTGATATCGGGGTTGGAATCCGATTCTGAAAATTTGAATACCTCTGTTATATCATTTATGACTTGTGTGCAAAATTTGAGGTTAATCGGACGTGATTTGATAGGTTCCGGAGTCGTTTGTAGAAATTAGAAATTTTAAAGTTCATTAGGCTTGAATTGGAGTGTAATTCATGGTTTTAGCATTGTTTGAGGTGATTTGAGGGCTCGACTAAGTTCGTATAATATTTTAAGATTTTTTGGTATATTTGGTTGAGGTCCCGAGGGGCTCGGGTGGATTTCGGGGTGGTTTCGGACCAAATTGGAGTTGTTTGGACTGCTATTGCTGAAGTCTGGTTTTCTTCTTCGCGAACGCGAAGGGATTCTCGCATTTGCGAAGAGGAATTTGAGGGGCTGTTCATTTGGCCTTCGCGAACGCGAAGCGTGGAACGCGAACGCGAACGCGAACGTGAAGGAGCTGGTCATCGCGAACGCGACGAGGAGTTCGCGAACGCGACGAGGAAATTATAGGGCAGAAATAGTTGGCCTTCGCGAACGTGACGAGGAGGTCGCGAACGCGATGAAGGATTTGAGGCAGTTGGGTTTTGGCCTTCGCGAAGGCGAAGCAATGGTCGCGAACGCGAAGAAGGCCTATCTGGGCAGAATTAAAAGTCCCAAAAATGGGGGTTTGAGTTCATAACTCAAAATCAAATTTAGAGCTCGGTAGAAGGCGATTTTTGGAGAGATTCTTACGTGGGTATTTGGGGTAAGCGATTCTTATCCAGTTTTGATTAATTTCCGTGATTATGCCTTTGAATGCATCATTTAATTCAGATTTAATGGAGGATAATCAAGATTTTTGTAAAATCTTCCAAAAATGAAAATTTAAAATTTGGAGGTTGAGTTGTTATTGGAACTCGATAAAATTGGTATGGTTGAACTCGTAATTGGATGGGTTGTCGGATTTTGTGAGTTTCATCGGATTCCGAGACGTGGTCCCCACGGGTGATATTTGGGGCGTAATTTCGGATTTTGTGGAAATATTAGTATTTTGATATGGAATTAATTAATATAAATTTTTTGGGCTGAGTCAAATTTATTGTGACTAGATTCGAGCTGTTTAGAAGTTGATACGTGCAGAGTGGAATTGCTGAAGCATTGCCTAGCTTGCTCGACATTGGATTTGGCTTGTTCGAGGTAAGTAACTCTTCTAATCTTGGAGTTGAGGGTATGAACCCTGAATATATGTATTTCATAAATTATTGAAAGATGGCGCACATGCTAGGTGACAGGCATGTGGGCGTGCACTATAGAAATTGTGATATAATTATTTCTGTGGAATTTGTAGTTAAATAATCTTTGCATTTTCCATGCAGTTTTATGAGTTAAAGATATTGAGCTGAAAAGCATATTAAAAATCATGTTGAGGTTATGTGTCAGTATTATTGGGACCCCCAGAGGTCATATTACTGTGAATTATTTGTTTTAAATTGAAAATTCATACTCAGTCACATTCATTTCATTGCATATCATATCTCAGTCTCTGTTGTTATTTATTGATACATCATATCATCATTTTTGGGCTATTTTTCATAACATTGTTAGCCCAAGAGACTGGAGAGATTCATGCCTGAGTGAGGCCGAGGGCCTGATTGTGAGGATGAGTGTGGATCGGGGCTGCCCGCCTGCAGCATACTTTATTATTATAGCACGTGAGTTGTCCGTGTAGCACGTGAGTTGGCCGTGCAGATCCTTATATTATCATTGCACGTGAGTTGGCCGTGCAGCACGTGAGTTGGACATGCGGATCCATATATTATTATTGCATGTGAGTTGGTCGTGCAGCACGTGAATTGGTCGTGCGGATCCAGATATTTATATTATGGCACATGAGTTGTCCGTG